TTAGAGTTAATGGTTTAAATATTTATAGCATTATCTCAGCTATAGCTATAATGTCTTTGGCATATATGTATGTACAAATACATATGTATGTAAGAGCAAAAGCATATTTGCGTTGATGTTCTATGAAAGAAGCTTTCATGACTAATTGTTTAATATATTATACTATGTATGAAGATTTAATTTCCGTATAGGAGTTAAGTTGTAATGCTGACTCACATTTTTAACACTAAAGGCCCATTGGTTATATTTTTTATATTTTACAAATTTGTAATTCTATCCAATTAAGTCATTATTATTATCTGAGCTTGTACCAGTATAATAGTATAATACTATATAACATATGATAAATTGTTCGTGTGAGTAAAAGTACGTCCTGAGGTCGACGCGGTGGAGCGAATTGTCTGACTCTGTGTATTAGAAAATAGTCTGTAACTGGAAAGGATGAAGCACCGAAGTAAATTTTCGGAATATTCTCTTGGACTGGTATCTTATCTCATCTCCTTGTACTAATTCCATAACACTGGGAATTTTGTAAACTGTTAGTCCATTTTTTAGGCAAAGCTATTATTTATTTGGTGACATCTGAATTGCAAACCACATTGCACTTAGTCAAGCTCAAATTTCTTAACATACAAGTACATAGGTATAAGGCTGGAAATCTATTTTTCTACAGTAAAATGTATCCGATATTTTGGGTTAGACTCTATCCTTTTTAACGACGAAACCCGTTTCTCATAATTTTAGACTATAATAATTTTTAATTCTGAAGTCTGCGCATTTTAGTTTTTCCTTAATATCTAAATTTTAAACTGTTGCATCTAACCTAGTTACAAGAGGGTTGGAAACGCAATTGGGTAATGACCATACCAAAGCAATCATGTAACGAAATTCGAACTTCAATAAAAATAACGCAAACAAGTAAGAACGGGCTGACCGAACATTTCATACTCTTCCAACTTGCCAGGATCAAACCCGGGAAATAATTTCAGGTGTTGCCAAACTTTGTTTTAAAAATGTTGCGAAAGCATTCAACATTCATTGTTCGGCGAAATAGTTTCATTAAAATATTGTAACTCACACATTGGCTGATATACCTATGTGGTATACGATCAACTGGAAGTTCGAAAATCTTTCTATTAGGTATATGGGAATTTTTGATTCTATTCAACCAATTTTTAACACAAGGGATATTATTATCAAAGAAATATTTTCCCCGAATTTTAATAATATAGACCAGATTGACCAATATTTTCGGCAAAACGTCAGCCATTCGCATTGGGGTTCACATATTCGGTATAGATAGCATACTTCAAAGGCACTTTTTGTGTAAAGTTTTATCTGGATATATTCATTGGTGCTTGATTTGTGTACTGGAAAGTGAAAGAATCATATGGAATTTAAAATTGTGCTATATACGAAGTAGACGGGGTTGTGGTCCGATTGCGCCCATTTTGACAACGTAACATAGCACTTTCAGTATAATGATATGTGCTTAGATGCGGGGATATGTTCTTTTACCTAAATGTTAGCGGTGACACACCCAACGTTTAATTTTGACCCTGGCTCCTGTATAGGCCTCTTGTATCATCCTGGGTGTAAAATTGAGTATCTGGCGCATTTAGTTAACAATATATCGCACTTGAAGTAGTTTTTAACAAAACTGATATATGGGGAGTGGTGGAGAGTATTTTCACACTGTTATAAGAGATGTCAAAAGTATTTTCCCTGCGCAAATTTGATATAGCCTGAATGGTTTGGGAGATATATATGTACATTAAACTTTTAGGAGGCGGGTCACGCCCACTTTTTAAAGAGTATGACCTCAGAGGTGCCCCTAAATAATGCGACTCGTTGTACTAATGTAGAGCTTTTTATTTTAGTTTGCGGTACGATTATGCCCACCAACAATACCAAACTTCTTATGGTGCCAAGGAACACGTGTACCAAGTTTTATGAAGATATCTTAATTTTTTCTCAAGTCTCGAACTCGTCCCGTTATCCTAATTATTTATATATACATATATATATATATTAGAATATATAACCCTATATATATCTCGATTAGTTTTTGATAAAAAAACAACCGCTAGGTGAACAAAACCTTTATATGCAATATGCATTACTCGAAGACAATTATGGAATGAATTACAATTAAATTTGGTATCTTATTAAATTATGTTATTGGTCATAGACCCACTTAGTTGCATTCCTATGTTTTACTCGTTTTTTGACAGAAGCTGCCTGCTGTTATCATGAAAAGATTCTCTCCGTATTTCAAAAATATATTTCACAGATGAATTGATAATCCTAGTTAGCTAGGCACTGAGGTCCATATTCGGTATCTGGCGGCTTTCCCAGTTAACATAACATAGAGTGTAACTTTGACAATATTTAGTATATGAAGTGGTACTAAAGGGGCTTCTTCTCAGCAAGTGTGGATAATTTAGCTTAAGCGGATGATATGTACAATACATTAAATCATTTAGAAGCGGGGCCAAGCCCACTATTAAACTCACACCTGTGTCGCTCGCTACTACGATCCACTGCACCAAATAACAGTATTTATCTTAATTTAATGATTATTTATGGCACTTTGTGGGTTTTCGTTTAATAGTGTTTTGTGGGTGTAACGGACGGTTACTCGGATTTCCACTCGTCTCGTCAGCTTGATCATTTATATATATATATAACTCTATTTCGATTAGTTCTAGGTGTTATAAACAACCGCTAGGTGAACAAAACTATTATACTATGTAGCAACATCTTGAGGGAGTATAAACAACATATTCATAATTTGAATACATATTCACTTAGGTAATTATTATTATTATTTTTTTAAATTATATAGTGGGCTGAGAAGTTGGTACTGTTTCTATAGGTAGACACATGCGCGCGCATTAGTTTTGAAAACATGTCGCAAAAATTGTCTAATTTCTAGTTTTGTTGAGTAAATAAATTTGTATACTAACATTACATACATATATGCATCAGTAATATAGAAATTTATTATGTACTTTCAAGGTTAGGTCTGACTACAAAAGATGAGAATTCAATTACATGACGTCTCCACCCATAGAAACAATACAAACAACAAGTGTTAAATTAATAAATGTAGGGTAAAGTTAACGGGAAGGTGGAAATTCCGACATTTTTGCTGTAACTTTTCCACATTAGTAAAGACTTTCAGACTTGCTCTCGTACTATAATGAAGTCATAACCAATGTTCGGTTTTGGGTATATTCGACCAATTTATCTCGAGACATTCTTTCTGAACGAGCTTGAAGTGCATTCATCTTACACTTACCAAGTTTGTAGAACCTATACTCAAATGTTTTGACAAGCTTCAATATTCTCCAGACTTTCCCAGAGTGAATTGGCAGAGATCAAGGCAGCTCGTTGCCTTCAGCAAGGAAAGGTAATACAAAAGATCTTGATCAAGACACTTCAGCGATATACATACATATGTAGCCTGATTTAATATGTCTGCATAGTTTTTTTAGTCACACGAAACTCACAATCGATCGGAAATTAAACATTTACCACAACATTATAATCTAACTGATCATAGGTTATGATTCCACTTCAGGTCAACCATTTAACACAATACTATCAATTGGTTTTGTTTTGTTTTTGAGCACGTAAAGTTATTCGGTCCTGTATAATAGGAAGGAAAAGCGAAATCCCTGTGGGAGGGAAGTTCGCTAGATCTCTTTGCTAGCGCTTTTCTGCTGACTCTGGTTACAGAAATTTAGCTAACATTTGTTAAGCTGATGTTTGTTCAAAGACGAAGTGCGGCACCGAGATCCTTAACAGGGCTGTTATTAATTATTCTGTGCCAATTTCTTTCAAACAATCTTCATCGCCTCTTTTTGACTTTCAATTTATATAGGAGATCCTATTTAAATACTTATTCCATTATTATTGTGATCTTGTCAAGGCTAAGTTGCATACACCTTTATTTAGACACTTATACATTAATAGTGCATACATATATATGTAATTATGTAAACACGTAAATGACAGAATATGTTCGGCGCAACACCATCGCTTTTCAGCTTATTAACAAAATCCTCCATTTTGTCGCAGAACGCAGTAACGAATACCACAAATAGAAAAAGAACAGTATTATGTGTCACAAATAACATGATGCATATTTATCACAATTTACGTAAATATAAATATGTGGGTATATGTACATATCTATGTACGTCGAGCTTATGTTTTTTCCAAAAACTAATATAATTTCAGTAATATAGTAAGTACTTATGTATTAATACATAGATTTCCGCACATATTCATTCATATGTACATAAGTATACGCAAATGCAAATACTTCTATGTAGTTACATGTATTATAAGTATATACAACAGATAAGTTATGTTTGACAAATCATACATTTCCACTTTCGCAATTTCATCTGTAAGTATATGCATACACATATACATACTATATATGTATGTACATGTATGTACATAGATATCATGCTTACACAAACCCACAACGCACACATTACCCCACCCGTGAACGACGTGAGCACCGGTAACATCATTAAAGGAGTTAATTTCGGTATACTTACGCAGAAGTACACCCGAAATGCAATTGCATTCACACCCAACGCCAATCGGCCATTTTCCTGTGATGCAGTGCTGCTTGTTGCTGCGTTCCGAATATACACATAACTACAAATATACGCATGTCTGCATTTGCTCCGTTCGACCACTAAAGACTGCGCTGCCAGCGTTGTCAACGTGCGCTGGCGTTAAAGTCTCGTTGTCGATGGTAACGAACGAACAGCTGGCTGTGTTTTCAAAGAGTAGAAAGAGAGCAATACGAAAATGAGAGAGTAGAAATGAGCATTTGTTCACAAAGCCAACAACAAACACACGCTGCAAGAGCAATCGGCGAGTGCTGTTGAGAGCGCAGTCGGTTGTGCTAGCGCAGATTTCGGCTATTGCTGCTTTGCTTTGCTGTGCCAAACGCTTGCCTTGTAGCGAGTGAGCGGTGTAGCAAGCGTTTAGTTTTATTTTCTACCCCCAACGATACAGTCATAGTAATCGTTATAGTCGTCGTCAATGTAGTCCTTCTGACTATGTCGCGCGAAGTAACAAAAACATTTTCTCAGTAAATAAATAAACAGAGATGAACAACAACATTGACTCTGACGGAGTTTAGAAGAACAATAAGTAACTGTCAGCAGCTAAGAAAAATCACATAAAATGTAAGGAAATAACCGCAAACCAAACAAATTTTAACTAAGTAAAGACAGGAAAAGTCAAACTCGACAACTTCGAACATACGAACGAACACGACATAGCGAAGTTAACTTGACCAAACGCGGTATTAAACGACGTCAACGACGCTTTTGTCGGCAGGAAAATTTCGCTGTCAGCTGTGACGACGACGCTGCCTACAATTACGGCTGATTTCTTTAATGGCGAATCGTATTGAATAGTTGGTTGATTTGGCGTCGACTTCAACGTCTCGATCTCACGTGCGGTTTGGTCTCATGCTCTCAGCACGTTTGTCATTTTTTAATTCCGTTTCGGCGGCGCTCTTCGTTCGATGGTTCCGTTTTGTTTTTCACATTCTATTTGCTCAGTTTCCATGTCGTGTTCTCCGTCTACTGTTTGCCGTTCTCTCATTATATTCAAGTTTGTAAATTTATCTGTGTTTGCGGCAGTACAACGAGTATGCATTTGGTGTTATGTGCGTGTGTAGAAAGAGGTTGCGGAGAAAAATAAACTTCCTATACTCACAATCCGCTGATGAGAAAAAGATAAACGTCTTGTTTGTAATGTACAATGTACGACGAAACGCAGTGTGATAGGTTGGAAAGTGGAAAAGTTGAGTGAAAATTGGTAATTGAATTGCATTACTTTATGCGAAAAGTCAAAGAAGAAATTCGCACACCGCATTCGTGTGTTTCAAAGTGTTGTTCGGCTCGTGTGGCCTCGGCTTTCTGGTCGCGAGCTAGCGTTGCAAGAAAACAGCTAAAGCATTGGTGTGCGCGTTTGAATATTGTGCTGAGCGTTGTTATTCAGTGAATCTTGGATCGGTTGGTCATTTAATTTGAATGCAGTGTTGATTGAACAAAGTGTCAATCATGAAATATAAATAAAACTGCGCTTAACAATATAGAAAATGGGAGTTGAAGCTTACGTGAAGAGTGTGAAGTTTAATGTAAATGCGTGTGTATTTGTGTATGGTGCAAAATTTCACTAGGACAAAAGGAAAAGAAAATTGTCAAATGCATTTTTTAGAATAAAAGAGAGCGGAGGTTGGAAGAGTAGATCGAAACTGGTACGAAAATGGCATACACAAAGCCGCGGCTGCCAACAAATGACAGTGGCAGCAGAGTTGGTTGCGGAGAAGAATATATGAAGTAACGTTCGTCAATTTCCGTTTTTCGTTTTTGCTATATTTCCTCTTCTCTGCTTTTCAGCTTTGTTTTTCTCTTTTGTTATGAGTGATTATACATTTTATTTAGTTTATGTTTTGAATGAACATGATAATGGCGGATGCTAAAACAAAATCGGCGATTGAAAATACGTACGTCGGCGAACAGATGCTGCTGCGTTAAGTAAAGTATGATGACAGCGACTACGCCGGCGATTATCGGAAGAAAATGGCGTTCTTACGCGCTAGCCTTTCATTTTTCACACCCGTTTACGCCTGTTACGTTTTTGTCTCATGTTGTTTTGTTTATATGCGTATGTAGTATATGGAGTAGTGTGTTTTGCATATGATTATAATAACTTACAAATTTATGTTTCCTAATATTTAAATGGTTACTTATTGTTTTCGGCAAAGGGAAGCGTTTACACGATTAAAGTTGTGCATTACTTTTATATTATTGATTAAGAGGGTAGATTTACAAAGTCTGTAGAGGCCATGTTTTCGGGATTTATTATCGAATTTTTTCAAAAATTATTTGATGGGAAGAGAATTTATATACAATTTAAGTTTGTTTAACGTTTTGCAAAATGTCGTTACGTAAACTTTTACAACGGCTTTTATAAATATTTTGATCTAATATACTTGCACACTTCTAAACATATTTGAATTATAATTATTATATTTTTGTCACCTGTTGACACTAGGTTTCATTCGAATTAAAGAATAAGGTTAGTTGATTATAAAAGGTACATTTTATTAAACAATTAAATCAAAAACTTATTTCTAGACCATTAAATACTTTAGTAGTATCAACAGTCAAAAATTAATCCCACTACAAATGTATTATAGGAAGCTAATTCCAAAATAAAAAGTTCCAAATATTGGTAGAACGTCTACAATTTCGATACATTGTTATTTTCTACTCCTCATAAATGAGGTCAAAATAAAAATTAAGGTGTTAAACTTTTGCTAATACTGGTAGTTTTTTCATTTTTTTTTTATATATACATAATATATAGTTTTTTTTTTATTGATTTGTTTATTATTTAAATGTTACTATATTTGTTGAAAAATATGTACATACATATGTATATACCACAAATATATAACAGGCCTTTGCCGGTTCAGACCTCAACATCCTTCCGGTTATATAGAACCTATTTTCGCGTATGTTATGAATCAGGAATTTTATAGAGAGAATGTATAACAAACCTGTTTATTCAAACCTTTTACTTTGTGAAAGAGTTTATTTATAAAGTGTGTAAACTTTTAATTGTATAGGCGGCGTATACGCAACATTATGTGTTACGATTAAAAAATATAATAATAAGAGAAGAAGCGTACACACTAACGCAAATACATAAATACACGCACGCAACGCCTTATGTATGTCGTTATGTTATGTTAACATCTTTGCATCCTTTGAAAAGTTCTTCTTTTCGTTAACATAGTTGGACCTATGTTAATTTTTTGTTCGTTGTCCGCAAGCCGGGACAGCAGAGAGAAAAGTTATCTTTCTAATAAGACTTTATGTGCGCACAAGTATGTGTATGTAAAAATATTGGAAGTGGTGTGAAAAATAGCAATCATGTTTAGTCTCCCACGTACCCCAATTTCTTTAAGATTGAGTATGTCAATATTTTTTTTTTTTTTATCCCTTGCGGTGGTTGATTTTTCTGACAATTTGTTTCGGTTTTGTGTTATGTTTTAAGTTCAACCTCAATACTCTTGACCAAGTTACCATTAGTAATATTGTTACGCACTTTTGATAATTTGTGTATTTGGGAAGCTTTTGTGATCTTGGAATGTTTGATTACATAGTAAGCATATATGTACGTATGTATATACTATTTGTTATTGTCATTTCTACTAAGATGTTTGGTCGCCAACAGATACACAATTTGATCTACAGCTTCGCCTTTGCCGCTGCGGAACCGATCAAATAGACCTACGTGATTCTTATTTCGTAACCGGTTTGCAGGAGCGTGCACACATGTGTATGTATGTTAGTGTCAAGATGCACTTGACGTATTTTCCCTTTGGACGCTTTTGCTTACAACTGTACATGGTTATAAACCTATACGCACAGGACTAACATTAACCAACTTGTTGAATGTTTTAGAAGTATGCGTGTTTGTGCTGAAGCTAGAAATCCTTCAAAGCGGTTTGAAAGTTTATATTAAAAAATGAAAGGGTTACTGAGTTAAACTTGTTTAACTGATAATTCTTCATTTTCATAATTATGAGGTCTTAAAATTTTAATCACAAACTTACCAAATTTCATATATCTTTATAGCTTTAAATCCAATGCGTAAATTGAACACCTATATCAAAGGAGTGAATTTCTGGGACGAGAGCCTTTTTCTCGCTCATTATCAAAAACTACAAGCATTAATAAATTGCATATATCAGCAGTGTTAAGCTAATATCGCGAATAATTTAGACTTTAACGAGACCTGGTCTCGAGGAAAATAAAATGTCGACACGCAAATCGGCGCCTGTAGCTGCAACAGCGCCTCAAACACCATCATCAACTACAAAATCGGATAATGGAACTCCGAAAGGGGCAGCAAACGCTACCCCAGCCACAGCCAACACAAGCGCAAATTTAAAATCTGAAATGGGTTCGAACGCTTCCACTAACGCTTGTGATGATGTTGAAATAAACGAAGTATTGGATTCATCTCCCAACAAAGAAACTCCAAAAGCGGATATTAAACGCGCAAGTAGCGAGCCAAAGCGTATAACGAGAAATTCTCCCCTTTTTCTTATATCTCCAACACCATCTGGAGGTACAAGGAAAGAATCACGTAGTAACGAAGCTTGTGATTCTGAATTGACAAATAGTGAGAGCGAAGACGGTAGTGCTGTGCGGCGCTTAAATCAAATAAAAGGTCGCAAATCATTGAAAGAGTGCAGAGATACAAAATCAGGTACTGAAAAGGATAAAACGAAGGAAGCAAATACAGAAAATATTGAATCTGATAAGACATCTAAAGACACCAAAGGAGCAACAGATGATAAAAATATAGAAGACGGTGATGCGGAAGGCTCTGCCGCAAATACAAATGTAAGCGCTAATTCCGCTTCATCAACTACAACAGCAACAAATAGGACGACTAGAAAGTCATTTGCACAAGAATTGGCCGCAAATACAAGGGTAACACGCAACCGACCGACAAGCACACAACGTCCTGAAACACCTCCAGTTGCCACAACGTCGACCCGTCCGCGTCGTTCGACAGCCGGTAAAAAGAATTCATTTTCAACGAATGAGCCAGTGGCAAAGCGTATACGTGCCGATGAGGAAACAACAGGGGTGACAGATTCACACGGTGGCAAATCTATTAAAATCGAACCCAAAGATGATTCCGAAGTCACTGAAGATGAGTTGCCACCCCCGAGCATTTCGGTTAGCAGTAATAATGACGTCGACACAGTGAAAATTAAAACAGAGCCCATCGAAAGCGATGAATCCGCAACAGAGGCAAGCATCGCTGGCTCAAGCTCCAGTGTGACGCGCAGTCGTAGTCGTTGGAGCGTGCGCAAACCTCAGCAAACTGGCCTGCAATGTTCTCCGAGCACACGTGCTACGCGGCACTCAAAGAACGCTTCGCCGTCGCCATCACCGACTACTTCAACAACCTCCAGCGCAAGTGGAAGCACAACAAACGAATCAAAGCGTAAACGTGGGAATGTTCAAACCAACGCATTGACTCGTAGTTCGTCTTTGACCTTATTAAAAACTGCAGCAACAACAGGTGGCCTAAATCCCGCTGCTACACCACTTCACGTACCTGACGAAGACTCAAAGGATAGTATGGCTTCATCGTCCATAGATGATATTTCAATAACAGATATAAAGGTGGAAAAGCTGACTCCCGATTTAGTTGACGAAATTCATCCAGACATTGAGATAGAAAAAAGACATGTAGACAATGCAAGTAGTGATGTTGTTTTGCCACTTACAGTTGAAACAGAGACGGAAACAAAAATTGAATCTAAGATTGCGAAAATATCGGTTAAAGATAGTGAAACCAAGGAAGTGGTAACAATTGAACAATCAACAACATCATTGGCGACTACCAGTAACACCTCAGCAGTAAATGAAGAGGTACACACTAAGGAAGCCTCCTTAAGTCCAGAAATGATCAGCGAAGGAGTGAGTGAAATTAGCGTTAAACAATTCTACAAAAAACCGAAATTTCTTGAAAATAATTTGGGAATCGAAGAAGATCCCAAATTGGGCGAAATTGTACAGAAGGTAAGCACAGGAAAGGAAAAGGAACAAACCGTTGTGGAAGACAAAGAAGAAGCAATTCATTTATTGAAAAATGATGGGACATTAGTATCATCCAAAAATAAGATCATGTCTGATGAGAGCGATGCAATATCTATAGAAAGTGATGAATTGAAAGAAGGCGACCTACGTATAGAAGACATTACTGATGACAAGAAAAATGCATTCACCGATGATGCTAATAGTGTGAGCACCGAAATTTTGTCGCCTCTGGTAATCGAGGAGGATGGTGAGGCGGAAGTTATAGACGATGATGTTGAAATAAAAGATTGTGCGGACTGTGAAATAAATGAAAATACAATTAATTCTGTAGAAAAAGATGCGAAAAAAGATCTTACAGACGTAAAACCGTCAAACGAAATAGATGTTGAAGATGATCTCACAATGGAAGAGAGTGAGACCATCTCGATGGATAACAATGCTTCAGTGCAGGAAGATGTAATGGAAGGTTTGCACGTTGATGAAGATATGGAAAATGACACACAACATTTGGAGAATAAAAGCGATTTGAGTGTCTTAGCTGACAAAGTTAAAGAGGTGAATGAAAAGACTAAAGCTGAATGTGATAGTATACAAGCCAAGCTTAATGTTGAAAATGAAAATAAAACCGTTACAAAGGATGAATTCATTAAGGATGTAAAATTAAAGTGCTTAATTGAAGATGAAAGTGTTGACGCAAAATTCTCAACAGATAAACAAATCCAAATGGAGATCGATGGAGATGAATGTATAGATCTAGGAGAAGCTATGGATGCAGTTAATTCAGATGAAGAAGATGAAACAAAATTATGTATTGATATGCAGGAAGAAGAAAGTCCAACTGCAGATATGGAGATTATTGAAAATATAGAGGACGATGAGGTTGTTGCAAAAATTGATGCGGAACTGAAGAAGTACGAGGATTTGGAGAAGATCAGAATTCATGAAAAAATTGAAAACGTTGATTTGCTTACCACTGAAAAAGATAAAGTTTTGAAATGTGTTAAACTGTCAGCACCTGCAGTGGTAATTAAGTCGGGTTGGACACTTAAAGACGAAAAGGAAATTGCTAAAATAACTGAAATTCATGAAGATATGGACATCACACCGATTGTAGAGACGACAGTAATAGATTCTGCAGATAATTTCGAAATGAAGGTGTGTAATTATTATTATTTTATTCATATTATTTTACCTCTGCTTATTACTTTTAGGATTCTATAAACGCAAATCCTGCTAGTCAAGACACGCCAGCTTCTTCCACAACCAATTCACCTACTAAACCAACAACAGCTCTTAAGGAGGACGATTCTACATCCGTGAAATCAGGTCAGTCCACTGATGGCAGCTCCTGGGTTACACTTGAATTGGAAGAAACCTTACGTCAAAAAGAACAGCATTTGCAGAATTTAGGGCTCTTCACACACGAGGCCGCGGAAAAGCGTCGCCAAGAATTTATACAAAGTTCTGCCGCTGCTGAAGCTACACGTGCACAACAACAGAACTCGAGCGGCAATGGGAGTAAACGCAATGGTAAATCTGCGAATGCGGCGTTGACGCATGAATACACTGGCACGCTGAGAACCGTTATTAAAATAAATCGCAATACAAGTAGTGGAAGCCATACTTCGACCTCCGGCGGTAGTAACGGACGCAAAAGCAATGGTAATGGCGGTCAACATGGTTCGATATCGGGTGGCAGTTCTACATCTAAGGATGTATCGAATGGCAGCACAGTGCGTAGACAATCACTTAAAATTACATTCCAAAAGGGACGCGGACGTGGCCAAGGAAATACCGATCGCGCCGCCGATCAGCACAGCAATGGAGAGGACGCCTATTATACCATACAAAATGAGGTACTAATTGAAAGAAAATTATGTGAAATTGAGCAAGTCTATACCAAACATTTCTCTTTCTATTTCCAGAACGAAGGTGGGCTAAAAGCTGGCAACGCCGGTCCAACGGCGGACCATTCAAATGTTCAAACGCATGGTAGAAAATCATACAATCGATCTAACACTACTAGCCATTCTACAAATACCGCTACCATTGGTGTGTGTTTATAGATTAACCCTAATGCAAAAGGCTTTTGCCGTAGTTCAAATTAATTAAACCTAATCTAGTCTGTTTTGTTCCTATTTATACAAATATAAATTAGTCTTTATAATAATGTAGAAGTAGCAACTTACTTTTTGCTTTTAAAACTATGCATATATTATGTATACATACAAGAAAAATTTAATAATTATATTTGGAAGTAGGTGTACTACCTCTCTCTTATGTTCAGTTAATTTCCTATCTATGGTATTTTACTTGCGCCTATTGTATATCTATAGATACATAAGTAATTTTTAATTGCACGCACACATTTTTCAACTTGAGCGTGTTTTGCAAAAGCTTGTTATATTAATTAGACTAACTGTATTAAAGTGCAAACATTTCCATATTAACATTATCCAACATTGTAATTAAATAGATTCCTCACATTCGGAAGGTTATGACAATGCCCATCACCATACCATTGCAAGTGTTTCACACAAAAAGGATGAAAAAGAAGAAATACTCATACCTGAAAAAGCATCGTCATTTAAATTTCATCCAGGTCGACTTTGTGATGACCAATGTTTCTACTGTAGCGGTAAATTTGGACTGTATGACACACCTTGCCATGTGGGCCAGATCAAATCAGCTGAACGGCAGCAGAAAATACTTGCAAGTAAGTTTCAACAAAAACAATAACAAGTAAGGAGGTTCTAAGTGCGGGTGTAACCGAACATTTTATACTCTCGCAACTTGTAAGGATCAAAGCCCGAGAAATAACATCAGGTGTTAGCACAATTTTATATTGAAGGAAGTACTGATCCGATTCAACCCATTTTTGACACAAAAACATACAATTATCGAGAGTTTCATTTATTTATTTTTTATTAGATGAATTTCAATTATATATCTTACACATTGACCGATATTTTCGGTAAGAAGTCAACTATAGGCACTGGTGTCCACATGCAGTACCTAGAGGCTTGAACTGTTTTGGTTCGATTTAGACAATTTTTGGTCACAAGGTGGCATACTTTAAACGCATTATTCACGCAAAGTTATACCCCGATATCATCATGGAATTTAAAATAGTGTTAAATGGGAAATAGGCGTGGTTGTAATCCGGTTTCGCCCATTTTCGCACTATAACATGAAATATGAGAAAATGTTATGTACTGCATTTGATTGAAATCGGTTAATCAGATCCCAAGATTTGGGGTTTCAACTAAAAGTGGGTGGTGCCACGCCCGCTGTGTAATTTTGAACGCGGTTCTTATAAAGTCATCTCATACCATCCCAGAGATAAAATTTAATGCCTCTGTCGTGTTTAGTGTTTGATTTATCGCGCTTTTAGTATTTAACCCTTTGAGTGGAAATGACGACCTTTTCTGTGCCAAATTCTGTGCGGGCAATGCCCGCCACATATTTAAATGCTTCAAAAGTTGAAGTAGTAAATTTATGAAACTTAACAATTGTTATGATATTTATTCATTTTCTTTTGCTCTTTTTTGTCTTTAATAGTCTCCACTTCCAGTCTTTCTTTGAAATAAAATTGTAAGGCAAAGGGTTAACAGTACCGTTATATGGGGAGTGGGTAAGTTGTTGTTGTTGTAGCGGAAGATTTTTATCGAGTTGACAGTCCTTGGCCGGAAAAAATCCGGGTCCGTTCCGATTACGTAGACCCGACTGTTATGGGAATGGTGGGTGAGTGATTTCACCCATTTTCACACTGTCGATAGAGGTGCTAAAAACATTTGTTATCGGTGAATTTTGTTATTATAGTTATAGCAATTTAGGAGATATGCCGGGACCACCCCCACTTTTTAAACAAATTTTAAACTGCATATGCCCTTCCCTAATGTGATCCTGTGTACCAAATAACAGTATTGTATCTTACTGTGAAGCTTAGTTATGGCAATGTATTTGTTTTTGATTAATGGCGTTTTGTGGGCGTGGCAGTGGTCCGATTACGCCCATCTTCAATACCGTCTTACGGCACCAGGAAACATGTGTACCAAGTTTCATTAAGATATCTCAATATTTAATCAAGTTACAGCTTCCACAGACGGACGGACGGACGGACAGACAGTCACCCGGATTTAGCTCGTCTCTTCATTCTGATCATTTATATATGTATAACCCAATATCTAACTCGATTAGTTTTAGGTGATACAAACAACCGTTAGGCGAACAAAACTATTATACTATATGTTGCGAGAATATAAAAATTCTAAATAAATATTATCTTTTTCACTTTTAAACCGTTATTACATCACTCTTATATATATATATATATTTCGCCAAACAGATGAAGAGAAACTAACAGTAGACAGTTGCTTGTGTGACGCTTGCTTCCGTCATGTAGATAGACGTGCCAATGTTCCATCCTACAAGAAACGTATGTCTGTAACGGGACATGTTGATAGTGCTGGCTCCTCAACAGGCGCGGAAGGTATCGACAATGCTGCAATTGATGCCGAAGATGATCCCAGATCTCATAAATGTTTGATGCCAGACTGCGCCAACCCAGCTGCACATTCATTGCGCCGCAAATGCATACGGAAGAGTGTGAAAAAATTCTTACTCAACTTTGATATGCCGACCGGTTCGACTTGTGTATGGCTATGTCAAGCCCACTACGATACCGTCATTCAATGTTCGGGATGTGTATTGTGTAAACGTCGCTTGGGCAAAAATCATATGTATCACATAACGTCGGTAAGCTATATTCTATTAGAATAAAATTTATAATAATATTGAAACAAAATGTGGAAAATGCTTGGAAGTTGCCACGCCCTCTTTCCAGAACATTTCTCTGTACATTTTGAATTACGAACAAGAAGATGTCCATTTCCCACCACAATCGAGTCTTTATAACCGGATTTTTGTCCGGCCAAGAACGGTCAATTCGACATTATACTTTACAATTTCTTGTGGAATGTTTTCTACTGCAAGAACGACAAAAACAACAATAAATTCACATGTTGTTGGTGTTGTTGTTGTAACGGTTATCCAGTAATGTAATAAATTCACATCTTTAAGCAATGCTGCCAAGTCGAAAGTTTTTTAAGAATATAAATCCAATCCTTTCCGGTTAGATATACCTGGAGGTTATAGGAACGGTTCAAAATTAGTATATTCATATATATGTAGGTCTGGTAATACAATTCTAAATTGCAAGTTTAACATTTCATACATTAAAGCAAATATTTTTTAACACGAAAGCTTAAAAATAAGTTACACAGTGTTCTTAGTCAAACTATTTATTTTTATATATTTATTTACAGGACACAGATCGTCTGGAAAAAGCGCTATCTGAAATGGGTATTCCAGTACAATTGGGCATTGGCACGGCTGTCTGCAAATTATGCCGTTATTTTGCAAATTTGTTAATGAAACCACCAGATAGTACCAAATCACAAAAGGCAGAATTTGTCAAAAATTATCGTAAACGGTAAGTAACAAGATTATTAAAATGTATCCCAAAGCTTATGCGTGCAAGTGAGCAATAAATAGTACATTTATTTATTGTTTTAACCTCAAAAATGTTCGTGAAAGTTAATACAAATATTTCCTTTCTTCGTTTCAGACTTCTGCAATTTCACAATATTCATGATGGCAGCAATGATGCTTCAGAGGCGGATGATGAAGACGGCAATATTACCAATGTAACTATGAGTGATACAGAAAAATCAACATTAAGTAACAGCAAAGCGCCGCAGAAAGCGGATAAGACCGATACGTCCATAACGCTTGAAGAGTCCCCCGTAAAGAATTTAGCCTCGCCAACTGACTCTAATGGATCTTCAATTGAATGCTTGGGCGAGGCAAACCATATGGAAATTAGTGTCGGTGAAAATAACGTCACTGTAAAACAGACACAGCAAAAGCATACACTGCATGCTAACGACATGCTAACAGACTATGATCCACCAACCACGTTATCGACCGATTCGAATTCTTCTAGCGCTCCAATGTCGCCAATAAACAGCTGCGCTTCTGGAAAACAGCAAATGTCTAAGCTCAAGGCGATCTTGCAAAGCAGCAGTGGCACCTCAAATGCATCAAAATCGTCGTCCACTGCCACAAACGCCGGAGCTGCGAGTGATATATCAAATGTTTTGCGTGCCAATCCCAACATTTCCATGCGTGAACTCTTTCCCGGCGAAGAGGATCTCGGGCTGCATTTCAAAGTGCCTTTTGGCAGTAGCGCAAGTCAGCGTACGCCAGAAGGGTGGACTCGTGTACAAACATTTTTGCAATATGACGAGGCAACTAGACGTTTGTGGGAGGAGCTACAAAAGCCTTATGGCAATCAAAGTTCGTTCTTACGTCATCTCATACTCTTGGAAAAGTACTATCGCAATGGCGATCTGGTGCTTTCGCCAAATGCTTCTTCCAATGCTAGTGTTTATACGCAGACGGTACGTCAGCGTCTCACATCATATGATCAAGGCCACTGCGGTGGTTTATTAAGCGCTAAACCCAGCCCGCCCACTAGCAAACGGAGCAGCACTGACATTCCCACAGTAGAAATTAATGAAGACGATGATGAACCGAAGCGCGGTGGTTCGAGTGAAAGTAAAGGCCCACAAATGGATGTGGATAATCTGTCACGGGAGACTCCAAATGCAATGCGTTCTAAACGCGCACGCAGTGATTCAGTAGACAAGCTAACTAAACAGCTAAGCTCCAATGCTGTAACAATAATAGCGCGTCCAAAACCTCAGTCACAATCATCTGGCGATCCTTCGCCACAGAAATCACTATTGAAGGAGAAATCGAACGACACTAGTGCAATGCCTTCGACTACGCTAACTGTCGTGAGTGGCAGTAGCACCAGTGGTGCAGTCAGTAGCGGCAGCAATAGCAGTTCCAGCAGTACATCGAGCAATAGTCGCAGTATTTTGAAAACCAATCTGCTTGGCATCAACAAAGCTGTTGAAATTTTGCCAATATCAGCGTCAAGCAGTGCTCAAAGCACCAATGCAGCAAATACGGCTGGCAAAGCTCATGGCAGCACTGAAACTAAGCAGCAAAAGATACTCGATTTAGCAAATAAGCTTTTGGACAATCGCAACGAGGCAGAGAAAACGAAAAATAGCACGGGCACATCTTTATTAACATCACCGCCTGAACTAGTAAGTTTACAACGGCGATCAGTCGGTGCTGCAGCTAGCAGCAGTGGCTCCACAAACACTACTAGCACCGCAGCAGCGCCCCCAACGAGCATTGCAACAGTGTCTTCACTCACAGCCAGTCTTATAAACAACAAGCGCACGCCGGCTACTGCAAAGGTTGGCGCCGGTGCTGCAACTGAAGGTGGCGCTACGTCGCATCGCGCACCACCTCCCAACGTGGTAATACTGCCCGATACCTTGACAGTGCGTGAACGTCAACAGCGCAGTTGGCGCCCGACTCTCATGCCTGTTGAGGAAAATTTGCATTTAATTGACAAAGGTGGCCCATTGTATCAGACCGCGGATGGTCGACGCCTACCAGCGCTGGTGCAGGTACTTTCCGGTGGCAAACCGTTCCTTATCTCTATATTCGACTACAACCGTATGTGCATTTTGAGGCGTGAGAAACTCTTACGCGATCAGATGTTGAAGACTGGCAAGAATCCGCATGATATCAAGCAACAACAACAACAGCAGCAGCAATCAACGAAAGTAACCACGACGCCGAATCTGCAAGGGGCAAACTTTAACAAGCATGCAGCCAAACAACAGCAACATCACCTGCAACAACAACAACATCAGCAGCAGCAGCAAGCAGCACAACAACAATTGATACAACTACAAATGATGCAAATGCAGAAACAACATGCGCTAAAAGCGCCCGGGCGCTATCCAACAATCGCTCCCAAACCCACCGCCACAGCTACACACAATGGCGGCAACGGCACACCCACTTCACACGCGACAGTCACCAACGTTAGCGTACCCAATTCAAATGCTAGCGTTTTCTCCTCACCCATGATGCCACTACTGACTAATGCCTTCTCAAATCCGAATTCCAATCCACTAGCAGTCGCTGCTGCCGCCGCAGCCGCCACAGCCAAGCTCAATAGCAATGCCTGGATTTGGAATTTCCCCGAATCAACGCATATGCTTAACGGCAACATGGGGGGCGCACAAGGTGCACCCAAATTGCCGCAATTGCTGCACAAGGGCCCACAAATTGGTGGTAGCGGTGGCATCCCAGCAACAATGACATCGAAACAACAGCAACAACAACAGCAAATGCTGATTGACAATACATTGATGTCGAAAATACCTAAAACTCTCACTGTTATACCACAACACAAACTAATGGGCAACAGCGGCAACGCGACGACTAATATGAGCCACAAGGAGTGATGACAACTTAATTGTTACGCGAGTGTTAAAGGCAGAAGAGAACGTCGGCAGCGTCGACTTTTCGGCGCTTGGTTGAGTAGTTGAACATTGCAGTGAGGCGACAATCGCGTAAGTTAGCAGTTAAAATTTCAGCTGAAGAGTAGCTTACGGTTATACAGGGAGAGCGAACAATAAAAAATGCAAAAATACCAATTTTTTGCTAGTTAAGCTAAGCATTCTGCGCATTCTATGAAGCGGCTGTCTGTATTGTTAGTTGGCTGGTGTATTTTTTGTTTATCAAAAGTTAGTTTAATTAAGCTGAGGAGGCCATATCAATGAGTTGCAACAAGTAAAAGCTCGAAAGATTGAAATCATAACTACAAAAGCAGAGAAAAAATTGGTTAATCTGAGAATGTTTAAAATTAAATTTAACAAAAAAATTGCCTTAATTTAGTCAAACCAGCAATATTATGATAACCGCCTAAAACACCAACAACTACTACATAAAATATATGTCATATTAACGGTTTCTAATTTATTGTCATCATTAACAGCGCTTTATTACTAGTACTTACTTACTTCTCTAATATGAAATTAACATGCAAAATTGACAATCATCAATTATGAAGTAGCGCAGAGCTGGCCACGTTCACTGCATACAAGCACGAGTGCTATTCACCTTAGCTTAGCTCCACATTTTGATCAATTATCTGTCTGATATGGCCATCAACGGTGCGCCGATAATAATGTGTTTGCTTAGTGTGTAAATAAATATGAATATTATTGTTAAAACATACTGCATATAAAAGTAACTATATTTAAAACTGATAAACCATTGTTGAATACGTAGAGCTCAAAAAATTGCACCCGTTTTTAAGTAACGTTGTTCACAGTCACTAGACCTACGTTTGTTTGCTAGCTAACGCAACATGTTGCGTTGTGTTAAATCCTGCACTACTGTGCATATTAGACGATATTTTGCCGCAACACATGCATTTACATATGTTTGCGGTTATTTATCAGGGAGATTTTAATGTATAACAATGATTACATACATATTTCATTATCCAACTAACTGTAATCTTATCGCCAATGCGAAACAAAATTATTTACATGCCTAAACATAAGAACACTTTGCATTGCGCATATGAAATCATAAACCTACACATGTATAAAACAATTAAAACGTAATATTATGATAGTGATAGACCTATATTTATTAATAATATAATGCAGTTAACTTAAGTACATAAAAAAGTATATACATACATACATATATATTTTATTAGTGGCAAGCGAAAGCATCCCTTTTAGGCAATAATTACAACAAAACTTTAAAGTAGTAGTATGTAAAAGCAAAGCGTACATAACGCCTGTAATGAAATCTAACCTCAAAATTGCCCTTACAGAATTAAAACTTTAGACTAGTTAATAAATAAAAACAAAACAAAACAAAACTTTTATGAAAATGTTAAGGAAAACAGTGCCTAAAATACAGACAAAAATGCAACCGAAACAACAACAACAAAAAGAACAAAAGAAAAACAACTTGCAAAATTATGCAGGAATTAATGTTTAAATTTATCGTATAATACAATATACTTGTATTTATGTTCATAAACATTCAAAATGCTGGAAAGAAAATCAGTTAAGTTATGCAAGTGGTAATCGTTGAATAAAGTGATGCCAATGTGAAACGTAACTACGAGTTGTTTCAATACATTCATTTATTGAAATTTGATTATAAAAAAGATTGTTGTTTCTTATATACATACAAAAATATAAATATTATATTATATACATACATATATTCGTAACCATTCTGGAAAAATATTTAAAAAAACACTCATGAATATATTTACATAAACAATTTACTGTTACGCAGTGAAATGCATTGAATTTTACTGAAATTGAGAAGTGAATTACATACGCACTTGCAAATAATATACTTTAATTGTATACTCTGTTTATTTGTTAATAAGTTTAAGCTAGACTACCACATACCTATTTACAATACATATTCACATACATATGCATGCGTACATATTTATATGTATGTATATGTGTGTGCACATCTTAGTCATAAGTTCCATAATAAATTATTTAATTTTACTTTGTTTAGTTTAATCATGTAATATTCATATAATTACTCATATTTCAAATATTATAAAATATTTTAACAACGGCAGAAACTATTTACGTTAACTACAAGTAACGCTAACAACGTTTAGAAAGCATTAACTTCGTACTGGAATGTAAAATACTATATAAGTTTCCTATAGAAATTGTTTTTTCTGCTGCATACATTTACTATTTAATAAAATTCAGGCATAAGTACATATTTACATATATGTATGTCAGTGTGTATACGTGTTGCTAAATGTAAGCACTCACGATTTTACGCATGCCATAGTCTATTATGGAATGACTTTATGCCCTTAGTATAGTTATGATTTTAAAGAAATTTCGTTTCCATATGCTTTTACTTAAGTTTGAAAGGCAATCACATACATATATCCTGGAAATGTAATAAAATAATATCAAATATACATATATGAACTCCTTATTTCTCCAAAAAAAAATTGCTATGTGTTTTATTATTTTGGGCAGTCCTAGCAATATCATCTTCAGATCGTAGGTATTTAGGGGAATTCTCTTGCTTTTGCAAAACCATTGCACGGTGTACGGATTGCGAAGTTTTCCAATCTATGTAATGGCTGTAAAATATGCTACAGCAAAACCCATGTTATTTTTCCAGCAATGGGGCGTAATTGTCACACTTTTTACATACTTTTACACGCATACAATTCACTGGTATATCTGTTTTTGCAATTTGTTCTCGTCCTCTCGCATATTTTGATATAGGATTTTTGCATTCTTTGTAATTTTGCAAAAGCAAAAGAATCCCCCTTATGTTTCAAAAAGCGTTCACTGATCGTGAGATCGTAGCAAACTCCATTCCCACTCAATGGACTCGAATTTCTATTTGGTCAAGCAGCGTAAACTCGACTGCATTTCGAGAAATTATTATCTTTTTCTGTCATTACAACAACAATAAAAATCGTTGAAGCCTGATCTCAACCGAGTCCATTAATCTTTGTTGACAACAATGCCGTCGAAAATATGAAAACGTGTCCTCATATCGATTTAACATTGATATAACTAACGATTTCAAAACTCTTGTAGATATATGAATCCCTTTACGCCTCACTAAAAAAGTAAAATATATAAAAAAATATTTTTAGACCTACAGTCTCTAAACTCCTGATATGTAAATCAAACATAATTAACTTTTCTAATAATACAATAATAAATCCATTTATAGCTTGAGGGGATAAACATGCGAAGTCAAGTTCCGCTCTTTTTTATATTGCTCTAGATATTATACATACATATGTTCTTTTTATACTTTTACGTATTGTGTCTGTATATTGTTTATGTCACCGTTAAGCTATAAGCATCTATTTAAACTATCAGTAGAAACATAAATAACTTCCAATAGTATTTATTTGACATTTATTCATTATTCATATCATTTGATTAAATATGCGATAGGTACATACAAACAAGTACGCAAAAACAAATGTTACTCATACGCCCTGCAGAGCTGTGAAATACTCTCGTACATACACACCTGCGGCCACGCACCCACCAACTTACAGTTTAAAATTTTCAAGTGTAACGCATATTTGGCAACATTTTATAATGGTACTTTTTGCGGTATCGAATTTTTTTATTTAGAAATTAGTAAGTGACATGTTAGTCTACACATTCAGTTGTAAACTAAATCATTTGAAAGTTAGTGAGGCTTACAAAATGAGCTCGAATTATATAAGAGACTGACACGCGATGAAAAATGTATTACTTTTTTAATTTAATTTACCTTATACTATAATTAAAATTAATGTTTTCTTTTATTTATTTAAATTGCTGTACAAAGTTTAGTCGTATTATTAGTTAAAAAAACGTGAACGCTTTTGTATAAGCAAAGGTAAGCTATATTGTGTTTTATTCATTAAACGAAATAAATTAAAGTTTATAAATATTAATTTCACATTAACATTTAAATAAAATTTGAGAAAAGTTCCGAAAGAACGAAAAAGTGCGAAAATTTTTTTTAGAATATATAGGTAAGTTCTGCGTGGCCACAGTTGTACAAACGTTTGTGTTTTTTAAGTTTAGACAGTTGAGAAACATGTTTTTTTTTGTTCTAAGTATACGATTATTTTTTATACTATTTATTATTTGTTTATATTCATGATAATATTTTGGAAAAAAACATAAATATGAAATAAACATAATAAACTTCTTAAAATGATTTCACAAAGTATTTCTGAATTTATATTATTACTAGTACGAATAGATCCGGCCACGAGTTGCTGTGGCACATTAAATACTATCATTATAAAATATTGAATACAGTGAAGATTTTATTTACCAGTAAAGGTGAAAACATTATTGCCGGTATAAGGATCCAAGGCATTGTACTTAAGGCTTCATTTTAAAAATGATTGATACAAATATTTGCCAACTGAAAAATGTAAGTTGAAAAGCAAACAAATGAAAAAAATACGAAACAATTTCAAATAATAAAAAAATCATCAACAAAAATAAATTTATTAACGCACACGAAACTTTAAGTGTCATCAAATCATTTATACATCAAAAAACAACTGTTTAACTGGTGCAGGGTTGTAAAATTTTTGAAATGGAATGAACATATTCTAATAAAGAAGTGTTTAAGAATTTGAGGTGTTGTATAGCTATTAAAACTTCAAAAACTAATCAGACGAAAATCTACTACGACGATGGTGGTCCGGTTAAAGCGAATTTATTTATAATACATCGCCAGATGCGAAGTTTTACTAGCTCTTACTAGGTGCTCAAATTCCTACATTAGTAAGATTAATTGAAAGTTTTTAAGTCTAAATCCGGAAAAATCTATAGCAGTTTTCTACGTTCTCCCAGACTTCTTGATTAATAACACAATAAGGTAACGTAGCGTGCAACTAATTTTTGAAAAGTGTCAGAAGCTGGTCGAAAAAATCCACACTAAATAGTCATCAGCAATTTTTGATGTTTATTGCGGTAACGTTTTTGCGGACCTTAAAGATGAATAACCAAAACGCTGAAATATTTTTTTACGATTAATTAAATTTCTAGTAGCTTTAAGATCATCAAAATTAAGAAGTCTACATACAACGATATCTATAATTATGTCTATATAAACACTGTATACCGTCAATTATATTGAGAATTTTACTGAAGCGGTTTAACTTGATAGTGCTGACTTTCCTTTAAGGTATATGTATAGCAAGCCCGGTTTGACTCTTGACAGCCCGAATATAAGATATTCATATAGCATTAGCGATAATTGCCGAAAGAACGATCAGACTGACGTGACATCATCAATTTACCTCTTCACTATAAACAATTTGAATAAAAAATGTCCATTTCTGTAGATAATACGTTCGTTTTTATTGAACCATAAACTGACAACCCATCAAAATGAAATGTCAAATAATGTCGCTTCCCACATCGATGGAGAGACGAAGTACCTGTATTCCCAATCTTAGATAATCAAATAAATGTTTTATTGCACGGTTCTGAAAACGTTCGAAAGCAAGTCTCGCGTTTGCTGAGAATCATTTCAAATTCAAAATTTGATGATCATTTAATTTTTTTAATTTCGATGTTGGAATTAATATTGAAAATTTTATTTTTAAACCCAAAATGAGAATTAAAAATTGCATCTAAATCATTTGTATGCGTAAGTTTGTCGACCAGTGCTCTACTAGAGTATTAAAGATAATGGCTCTTATTTTTAAACTCTGGCAATCTGTTGCTACAGAGTACAAGGTGCGTTCCAAAGTAAACAGGACTTTTAAAAAAAAGACAGAACAAATAGTTTTATCGGTAAAATCAATTAATTTTATTCAAAATAGTCTCTTTCTGCTTTAGTACAGCTTTTTGCACGGTTCAAAAGCATGCCGAACGATTGTTTTAGCTCGTTGCCCGGTATGGCCGCTAGTATGCCGGTGCAAGCCTTTTAAATGGCCTCCACGTCTGAAGTCGCACGGTGCCATATCTGGTGAATACGGGGAGTGGTTGATTGTTAAAATGTGATTTTTGGTCAAATAATCGGCCACAATCGTCGATCGATGACACGGCGCATTATCATGCAACAAACGCCAACTTCTATCTTCGCGATATTCGGGCCGAACACGTCGAATACGGCGCACCAAACGCTTCAAAACTCCAAGGTAGAATACCGCATCAACGTTTTGGCCGGGTGGATCAAATTCTTTCTGGACAATACCCTTGGAAACATAAAAACAAATCAGCATTGTCTTCACTTTTGACTTCTCCAGGCGCGATTTTTTGGGTTTCGGCTTATTTCTCATTTATGTCCTCACGACCAATTTGAAAACGTTGAAACCACTCGTGCACTCTGCTACGGGATAGGCAATCATCGCCATAAACTCGTTTCATCAATTGAAACGTTTCGGTAAAAGTTTTACCAATTTTAAAACAAAATTTAATGTTGGCTCTTGTTCGAAGCTCATTTTCGCATCGATGACAAAAACATACTGACACTTAAAACGCAATAGCTTCACTTCCATGAAATGTCATGAAATTTTTACTGGAAGTCGATAAAGGATAGCAGATTCTAATGGGCCGTCCATAAATTACGTCATCGTATAATCATCCTATCCCCCCCCTATAATCATCCTATTGTCATTTCTTAAAGACACCGTCTTTACCGACTTTGACTTTACCGTCATCCGCAGACCAGCTTCTTATTTGTCGATAACGCCGATATCGGACTACTATAGCATATAGCTGGCATACAAACTGACCGATCACAATCAAGTTCTTGTTCAGTGCAACCGATAGTAGTTTTCATTTGCACGCGAAATTCATTCTGATCAATGTATGTCTATACAGAATTCTATATCTATCAAAATTAGTTATAGGTGAACAAAGCTATTGTACAACATGTTGCGACGCAAAGTACATATGCTTTCTCTTCGACAGCTAAATTGCCCTGCAGAGTACGTAATAGAAAGCAATATATTGTATGTTAATACCCATAATATATACCCGCCCTTATTGAAAATATACTCGTACACATAGTCATGAATATTTTTATTCATACTATTATATTTATTAGTATATATTTCATACATACAAGTATATAAGTATATGTAAATGCATTATAATCTGAAAATAAAATTCAAAATCCTCCTCAAATATCTGCGTAAGTTTCTTAAAGTTAAATATTTATAATAAAAATTCACAAAGGACAGCATTTTAGTGCTTACTTCGGCAAAGAAATATTTAATGTATTTATTCCTTCAATTGAAACTCTGTGATATAGCAGCCTTAACTCTTTATGGGCAATTGATTTCGCACTTTTCAGTTTTTTAGCGTTTCACTGACGACAAATTTCTTTTCAAAGCGTGTACTACTCAATGTTCTCAACAGTTCTACTACTCTAATTAAGAGCTTTTGATTCGTCCGTCAGCTCTTTAGCACTAGTGAAATA